ACCTCTTTTCCACAAATATTGGAGCACTTCTCCTTCCTGCCCTTAGAAGACGAGACATGCCCCAGTGCCCACAGCCCCCCGCCCCAGCCGCTCGCTTGCTGGAGTGCAGCTGCAGGGAGGCAGCTGCCCGAACAAACCCAGCCCTGTTCTACACTGCGGCCGGGACAGGGGAAGGGGGAACAGCTGAGAAAACTACAGCGGCTCCAGTGCTTTAAATAAACAGCACCCAGCGTGCTTGGCCAGCTCGAGCTGGTGCTCTTGGCTGGGACGAGGGGCTGTTTCACTCGCTCCCTGCACTGTTATGGCTGACATGAAGCCTGCAGGGCTGGGGTCTAGGACCAGGCATCACTGCAACCCTCCTGGTAGGGGGGTCATGCCCAAGCCAGGTAGCCACAAGCCCAGGACAGGGGGGGAGCCTTGCTGGGCAGCAATCCATCTGCCAGAGTATGCAGTGCTCCGAGTGAGCTAAGGAGTGGTCAAGCTAACAGGCTCACAGTCCCCAGGTGAACGAGTGCCATCATCCCATGCAAAGCTCCCAGTGCTGGCTGGGCTTGGCAAGCTGCTCTCATTTAAGCAGGGGATGCCAGACACCCAGGGTGAGATACTGCAGGCTCTGAGCCCTTCCCCAGCACTAAGTAATCAAGAATCTCAGCTGGATTGATCAGCCCAGGTCAATTCTACGAGATTTAACAAGGCCAAGTGCCAGGTCCTGCACTGAGGTCACAACAGCACTACAGGCTTGCAGGTGAGTGCCTAGAAAGCTACCTGGTGGAAAAGGACCTGGGGGTGCTGGTCAACAGCCGGCTGAACATGAGCTGGCAGTGTGCCCAGGTGGCCAAGAAGGCCAACAGCATCCTGGCCTGTATCAGAAATGGTGGGGCCAGCAGGAGTAGGGAGGTGATTGCGCCCCCGTACTTAGTACTGGTGAGGCCACACCTCAAATGCTGTGTGCAGTTTTGGGCCCCTCACTACAAGAAGGACATTGAGGTGCTGGAGTGTGTCCAGAGAAGGGCAACAAAGCTGGTGAAGGGTCTGGAGAACAGGGCTTATGAGGAACAGCTGAGAGAACTCGGGTTGTTTAGTCTGGAGAACAGGAGGCTGAGGGGAGACTTTCGTGCTCTCCAACTACCTGAAAGGAGGTTGTAGTGAGGTGGGGTCAGTCTCTTCTCCCAAGTAACAAGCGATAGGACAAGAGGAAACGGCCTCAAGTTGTGCCAGGAGAGGTTTAGATCGGATATTAGGAAACATTTCTTCACCAAAACAGTTGTCAAGCATGGGAACAGGCTGCCCAGGGAAGTGGTCGAGTCACCACCCCTGGAGGTGTTCAAAAAACACGTTGATGTGGCACTTTGGGACATGATTTAGCGGACATGGTGGTGTTGAGTTGACGGTTGGACTTGATCTTAGAGGTCCTTTCCAATGTAATGACTCTATGATTCTACCATCAACTGGGGCAATTAGGGTCCTCAGATGCCCAGCCTGGGAATGCATAGCAGAGGCAGCCCCTAGTCCAGGGAAGGAAGCCGGAGACAGTGGATGCTGCTGCCTGGAGCGCTGCCTCCTGGCTTGGGATGCAGCAGGAGCGAGGAAAGGGAGAAAAACCCCTGCCTGCACTGCTGCCTGAGCAGGCAGCGAGGGGGCAGGGATCAAAGGGAAATGCTCTCGCCCTCAGCCCCCAAATTCCTGGCAGGAGACCCTGCCAGCACCCTGCCACAGTGGCAACCTCAGTGGGGCAGGCAGCTCCCAGCCACTCTGTTCCCCTGCCTGCAAGTGACAGCAGGAGAGGCAGGAGTACACAGCCCCCAAGCTGAGCTCCCCACCCTGCAATGCTTGGCTCTGGCAGCATCAGCTCAGCAAACCCCTGGGCTGCAGGTGGGAAAGGGGGGCATGGTGCAGGCAAGAGGCTCTCAAGCAGAGAGAGCAGCCCTGGCACACAGTAGGCCAACGAGGAGCTGGGAGCCAGCGTCCCGCCAGGAGCCATGCCTAAGCCAGCATGCCTGCGCCCCAGCTGTCCGCACATCCAGGCCAGGGGGGAGGTGGGCTGTGACAGCCTCATGCAGCCCCTGGGGAAGGTTCCCAGCCCCTCCATGCGAACACAGGGCAGTCTTTGCTGTGACTCAGGGGAAGAGGATTCCTGTTTCCCAAAGCATCCGTAACCCACGGTGTTCACAGAGGAACATTCTTCCCCTGATTAAAGCAAGATGGGAGAGAGACAGAGCCAAGAAAGGCTTTTTTTGTTGTTGTTGGTTTTTGCAAAGGAGGAGGGGTGACTGAAGGCAGCCCTCGAGGACAGAGGTTTCCAGGTGAGCCCAGCCCCACACCAGCTCCCCTGGGACAGCAGATCCCCAGGGAGAAGCAGCCTTGCCACGCAGACCCCCGTGCTGGTGGCATGCAAGCTGGCCCTGCAGAGCTGGGGGGCCATGGTTCAGGGAAGGGGGCCACACCACCCTCTGACCGCTGCAGCCCCTCCAAGACCCAGAGCTGTGCTGTGGATCCTGTATGAGATGGCCATCATGTCACGTGGCTTCTCCCAGCCTCTTCTACCCTCCCAAGGTAGCTCAAGCCCTAAGCCCAGGTCCCTCACACCTGACAGCAGGGCTGGTGCTTTTATCAGGGGAAAATATCCCAAACCAAAACACAGACAAGGGCCAAGGACCTCCTGCACTTAGCCAAGGCAGCAGGACAGTACACAAGCCCAGCTAGAAGACTCAGCCCTCTCCACTAGCCAGGTCTGGATTTTCAGTCAGCCCGGAGCATACCAGGGAGAAAGGACCAGGACACCAGAGGATTCACTGTGCCAGGTGGCAGTTGGCATGGGGAGCACAGACCCCAGGCCAGGACACAGGGCTGAGGTTTGAAGCCAGCACCACCCAAAAGTTTCCAGGGACAACCAGACACTCAGGGCTGCTCCTCTGCCTGATGGCCACAACTGCGGAGGACACAACGGGCCAGGCGCAACTCAAGCTTTCCAGCGATGGTCACCCCCAAGTGGCTCAGGGGCTGCAAGGGAGCACATCGGCAGAGGTCCCAGTGGCCTGGCTACCTTGGCAGGCGGAGGGAGGAGAGGAGAGGCAGCGGGATCCGCCAAGTG